GGCTAAAGTGAGGAACTGAGGCTGGGCTAGAGTGAGCAGAGGCGGCGGGGTTGAGAACGGAGCAGCCGGCGGATCCGACGAAGGAGCGGCAAGCATATGTGACGACCCCGGGCTTCGTCCACGGTGAAAGCCGATCCAGCGAACCACAGCACTAAGTTGATGTATTCCCTCAGCGACCAGCACAGATCAGCTCTAGGCATGACGAAGCGGATATCGTCCTCTTTTGGAAGACCAAACAAAGTAGTTTCGCTTTCACAACGAAGCACACAGCATCTTCAGGACATGGCGGCAGCGGCAACAATACTACAGTGAGAATAAAAGTTACGCCTTCTTTCTTTGCGTGAACATTTGGGCGGCGTTATGCAAATCTTCCCACATAGTGAGGTAGATATGTGGGCGACCCGTTTTAGGTAGGTGTGGCTGACTCTTAACTTTTACAAAGAATATCTCTTTGGATTTGAGACTTTAGTCTTTGCAACTTTACAGATCTTCTTTATGCACCAAGAGCTTGTAACACTCCAAAGAGAAAGGAAAAATTGAAATTGCATCATATGACCCCTTCAATGCGATAATTTCATATTATTTGTAGCACACTCGCCGTCCAGTAATCGCAATAAGCTTTGTGCCGTTACCTTTTAATACACAAAGTATCAGCCTTAAAATTCTGCCAAATTCACAACGAAATGCAAACAATGAATACTGTTTCGTCACTCTTTAATGTGGCATGAGCGATCGCTTTAGCACCTCAGTTCAAGTGGCATGTGAACCCATCATATCTTTCTCTTTACTACTATAGTACGAAATAAACATGAATAGACATCAAAAGGTAAATTATAAGATACAGTATAATTTACTGAAATGTCTCATGTAATCGCTCATGCAGTGTTTCAAACTGCGGAAAATGTGTAAAAATTGTAAACAATTCCACACAACAATACATTTCCCTCCGAATAACCATTCGGCGTCTATAAGCTCATCAATTAGCTAGAAAAAATAACTATAAAGAGGAGCATTTTGCTAAATATATGTACTATATCGCATATTCATATTTTTACTTAACCTGTTGTCTGCGTGATAAGAAAGAATGCAAGGAGCTAAAGGTAAAATTCAACACCTCTTATATAATTGCATGTTACTAATGAAGAAAAACAGACTGGATGTGTGCAAGATGTATGACAACATGTATAGGATGCATTGAGGAGGAGCCCAAACTACACCCAATGGCCACGTGATGCTGAAATAATTATGGTCTGCGATATTGGCACAGATTCTGTGTAATAAACAATTCTTTGAGACTGTAGATCTCAAGTTGGAAAAGATGTTTAGTTCCCAGTTTAAGTGAACCTTAGTTCCCAGGACATCTACAAGATGGATTAAAATGCTGATAAAGACAAGAAAAGATGAGACATAAACACATGACAGTATCACTAAAATGTTTGTGTTAAAATAAATAAATACAACGCGTTTATTCTGTGGCACTTCTAATTTTGTTTCTTATAGGAGCCAATGGCTTTTTTTTTTGTCTAGAGCCCTGTTATTGTTTCACAGAACATGAAGTGGCACCAGTAAAGGTGAAAAATGAGGATGAGATAAAGACGGAGCAACAAGAACTGCAGCGTTCTGACCCCGGCAGTGAATGGGAAGATCAAGAGAGCCAACAGAATGCAGAAAGCAAGACTGAACAAGACGCACATGCACATTATGGCCACAAGAGGCGCTATGATGAAAGCCACGGTTACAGCTATTATGAACACCGTGAAGACAGGAGGTGAATTGACCACAATGCTTTTGTTTTAATCCTATATCGGCATTAGGATTTTGACTTAATGCACACTAACAAGTGCTATTACATTTACATAGTGATTTTCTTAATCACAGGTCCCACTCAACTCTGCCTCCTGCTGAAGAGGATGAGGAAGACTTTGATGGCACACTAGTGGTCATTGATGCTTGTATGTGAGGGCTTGTTTTGAGTAATTATGATTTATGATGTCTCTATAATAGTCATAATAATGGAATTCTCTCTGTAAACCTCAACAGATAACTGTGACTTGCACTTCAAAGTCTCTCGAGACCGTTGCAGCGGCTATCCTTTAACCATCGAGGGGTTTGCTTACCTATGGTCTGGAGCACGAGCAACATATGGTGTAAATAAGGGACGCATGTGCTATGAGCTGAAGGTAATGAACACTACTGTTCAAAAGTTTGAGGTCTGTAATGTTTTTTTTATGTTTATACTCTTAGGCTTACCAAGGCTGCATTTATTTGATCAAAATGCAGTCAAAATAGTGATATTGTGAAATATTATTACAATGTAAAATAACTTTTCTCTTTCGATTTTAAAATGTAGTTTATTCCTGCGGCCTTTATTCAGTATTCAGGGTCACGTGAAACTTCAAAAATCATGTGCTGATTTGGTGCTTTAAGGGTTAGTTCACCCAAAAATGAAAATTCTGTCATTAATTACTTGCCCTCATGTCGTTCCAAACCCGTAAGACCTTTGTTCATCTTCAGAACACAAATTAAGAAATTTTTGATAAAATGTGAGAGCTCTCAGACCCTGCATAGACAGCAACGCAACTGTAATGTTCCCAGGTCCAGAAATGTAGTAAGAACATCGGTAAAACAGTTCATGTGACATCAGTGACTCAACTTCAGATTTGGAAAGCTACGAGAATACTTTTTGAGTGCAAAGAAAACAAAAATAACAATTTTTAACAATTATTTTCCCCCCGAGTTACGTCTTCTGCCATTTTTAGAGAGAGTCACAATGCATACGCAATCTTTCCCCTGAGCGTAAACAATGCTGATTACGCAGATTACGTTCATGCGCACGCTTTCTCCCCCGAATGTAAACAACGCTGATTATGTCGACTACGCTCTTGGTTACTCTCCAAAATGGCGGAAGACGTAACTCGGGGGAGAAGAATTGTTAAATAAATTGTTATTTTAGTTTTCTTTGCGCTCAAAAAGTATTCTCGTAGCTTCGCAAAACTGAAGTTGAGCCACTGATGTCACAGGGACTGTTTTACCGATGTTCTTACTACGTTTCTGGACCTGGGAACATTACAGATGCGTTGCTGTCTATGCAGGGTCTGAGAGCTCTCACATTTCATCAAAAATATCTTAATTTGTGTTCCGAAGATGAACGATGGTCTTACGGGTTTGGAGCAACATGAGGACGAGTAATTAATGACAGAATTTTCATTTCAACACTTACACGTTTTGAACAATTTCTGATTTTTTTTATTAGCTAACTTGTAAAACTACACATTCTGAGCAATAGTTTTAAGCAGTGTATTAGTATGATACACTCTAAAAATCTGTAAAAATAGGGCAAAATTTACTATGTTAATATGAAGGAATTTTCCGTATTGATTTTTCGCAGGTTTTTTACCTGCATTTTTAATTACGGATTGTATTTAGTGTTTTCGGGTTACAACAGATAATGTCCTGGAAAATTACTAGTACCTTTTCCATTTTTCTAGATATTTTTCTTACAGTGTAGTGTGACTGACTAAGTGATCGACAATCGCAGGTACAAGCTAACAAGGTGTATCATTAATGAACAATTATTAAATTATTATTAATAAATTGAACAATTGCAAACAGCAAGTAACTTGATTCACGTGATGCGTGTACTCATCTTTGGTTTCCTCTTTTTGTGTAATTTAGATGAAAAATGTGTGCCTTTTTTATCGTTTGAGTCACTTATTAAAAGTTGCTAAATGTTGCCAAATAAATGTTAAAAATAGCTAAATTTGTTGCTAGATGCTTTTGGAAGAAAAGGTTTCTAGGTTAGTGTGAAAAGTTGCTAAATTTAGCAACAAAATTGCTAAGTTGGCAACACTGCGCGCGAGGCGTCTTCTTCTTCTTCATCTTCTTGCTTTACAGCAGATCACAGACTTATAAGTGCATTACCGCCACCTATCTCTCAAGTGGACCATTGCCACTCCTAATTGAGATTGTAGATGGTGTCAATGGTCTGTAATAAAAGCAAATAAATACTGTTCAGTTTCTTGCACAGATCGATCGTTTTGTGTCTTTACACATCAATGTATCGTCACAAGTTTAATTTGGTTTTGTTTGTGCATGTTTTGTTTTTTTTAGTTTTATTGTATGTTTTAGCCGTGATTCCCATTCACCTCCATTATAAGACTGACAGACTGCAATGGTTTGTGTTAAAAATCTCCGTTTGTGTTCTACTGAAGAAACAAAGTCACCTACATCTTGGATGCCCTGGGGGTAAGCAGATAAACATCAAATTTTCATTTTTGGGTGAACTATCCCTTTAACTGTCTCCTTTTATCAATTTTATTAATTTCTTTCCAATCTTACTGAACCCATTCTTTTGAATGGTAGTTTAGATTAGTTGTTTCTCTGTAGTTAACGTTTAAATCAATTTAATAGTTTACATAATCTTGGTTTTTGCCTCGAGGTTCTGGAATATCTACCAGTGAAGCATCTTCCCAGCAGTGAGCCTGACCCTCATGTCGTGAGAGTCGGGTGGTCTCTGGATTCCTGCAGCACACAGCTTGGTGAGGAATCACAAGCACACAGACTTCGAGGGTTTGTTATCGAAATGATCTTTCTGGGTTCTTATGTAGGGAATTACTTTGTTTCAGGAGAGGAGGCATTCTCTTATGGGTATGGCGGAACAGGGAAAAAGTCTACCTGTTGCAAATTTGAAGATTACGGAGAGAAATTTGGTGAAAGTGATGTCATTGGATGTTATATTGTGAGGGCTATTCTAAGTTTTATTAATTTTTTTTTTCTTAAATTATGGAATCTGTCAACAAGTGACTCTTTTGCAAAACCTGGTCAACTTTTTGCTGTATACTGCAAAATAAAGGTGCAGTCACATTTACCTACTTGAAATTTCGCAAAAACAAAATCATTTAAATGAAGAATTTTGCCTGATAGATTTACAGTGAAAAAGAAATTGTACTATGCAAATTTTTTGTTGGGTTCAAGTTTGATTAACACAAGTTTACAGTGCTGACCAATAGTAAGCCTTTTGGTTCGGCAGTGATCTCTGTGTGGGCAAAGATTCGTAACGCATAGCAAAACTGAAGATCTTCAATATACAAAGTACTCATTCTAGTAGTATCTCCTCATCCAGTTTTGTATAAAACTTCTCTTTAATATTATAAAATGATGAATAAAACAAAGAGGCTATTTGGAAAGCACTTATTTAGGATTGGTTTGTTTAATAGCTGGCAGAATAGCTTTGGATGTTTATTATTTTTGTATTATCATTAACTGCTTTCTTTTTGTACAAAATTCATTGATCAACAGTAAATGTGACAACACCTTGTGGCGTCATCTTAAATAAAATAAAATGCCTATAAGGGACTGATATGGAACGGACTACATAGGCTGCAAATTCAGGTGTTGCACAAATCGATTCTAATTGAGTTTAGCATTAGCATGTTGCTAAGCTAACAACATAATACTTATCTGAAAATAAAAATATATAAAATGCTCTTAATTTTAATTTGATTGAACAGCATTGGGATGGGACCTTCTGTCAAGGTAGGCAGCTTACTAGGTTTTGGAACTGAGAGAATAATGAAAGGAAAGTAAAATAACAAATATTTAACTACCTAAATAAAGTAGTTGACATGATAAACAGTCTCATATTTGTCTTTTACAGGACTTTGACAATCATGAGCAGGTGGAAATGGCTTTCTCAAAGAACGGGAAGTGGCTTGATGTGGCATTTCACGTATCTAAAGAAGAACTGGCTGGTCGTGCACTGTATCCTCACATCCTGGTGAAGAACTGCTCTGTTGGGTTTAACTTTGGGCAACGAGCGGATCCGTTCTTTCCTTTGCAAGATGGCTACACTTTCATCGGGGCTGTCAACATAGAGAACAGGGTCAGAGGAACTGTTGGTCCCACCAACAAATCTGATTTTGAGGTAAATTCTCCTGATTGGCTCCGTACAGGTAGTGTGAGCATTAGATTTTATGTTTCACTTTGTCTTTGCAGTAAAGATTTATATAACATCTTTAAGACAAACGACATATGTCATATTTGACATTTTTGACAAAATCTTACACTAGATAGAACACTATCGTTCAAAATTTTGGCGTCAGTAATGTCGGGTTCAGACTACACAATATTTTTGTCGGTCACGATAGTCACTGTGTCAAATTACACGATTTTGACTCCTAAAATCTTGTTGTGTCGTGGACCAGAAACATGTCAGACTACACGTTGCTTCCCGACCATTCATCGCGTGCCGTCTTTAACGACGCGCGTGATGTCATCGAGAAGGTGGAACTAGCGACTGACTTCTGAAAACAAGAGTGTAAACATTGCTGAAGCGCTTCCGCTATCGTTCGCCAGCATGTTCTGTCGTGGTAATCCCTCGATGACATATCATACAGGCAGGAGTACTGTTGCCACAGCTCCACGAACCTTTCCTCCATCTCATAATTCCCCCTAGCAGCACCATCATCTCTCTTTCGTTTCGCCATGTTTGAAACCTGTGTATGAAAGAGCTTCTGTGCTGCTATTGGTCAACGTCACCAATGTGACAGAACTCATCGTGGACGATGGAAAAAAAATTAAACATGCTTTCTGTCCTGATGTCGTGAAGCATCGCAGACGCGGAATCGGTTGTCGTCCACTATGACACACTACACGAGCTGAAACTATGGAATCTTGCGTCCCGAGTCCCCGAAGCCCATTGTCGTTTACGAATCCCTACGACACCCTACGTCAAGCAAATTGTGGCAAAATCGGGCTAAAATCGTGTAGTCTGAACTGGGCGTAAGATGTTAATTGAGCATCAAATCTGCAAAAAAATCAGCTTTGCTATTATAGGAATAAATGTCATTAAGTTTTTTTTGTTGTTGTTTAATAATATTTCACAATAATATTTTTTACTATATTTTTGATCAAATAAATTCTCCCTAGGTGAGCATAAGAGACTTTTCCAAAACATTAACAAAACATAGCATCCCTAAACTTTGGAATGGTAGTATATATGGTCTTAAATAAATGTGTACTGTCCAGAGAATCAAATTTTTGTCTGTAGGTCCTGATGATGGTTGGTCTTCCTGCTTGCGGTAAAACCACATGGGCCACTAAGCATGCAAAGATGAACCCAGAGAAGAAGTACAACATCCTGGGCACAAATGCCATCATGGAGAAAATGAAGGTAGGATCAGCATGTTTAAAAGTGTTTTATTGTTCACATTTGTAAAGAAATCGTGTTTTTGGGTACAAAACAAGTGCAATCGAATGGAACAGTTTTTTTTGTGATGTAAATAATTGTATAAAAATATACAATTTACTGTTCCAAAAGTTTGGGCTTAGTGAGATTTTTTTTGTTTGTTTTGAAAGAAAGAAATGAAAACTTTTATTCAGCAAGGATGCATTGAATCATTCTAAAGTGACAGTGAAGACACTTGTTACAAAAGATTTCTGTTTTAAATAAATGCTTTTTTTTACTTATTACATTGTACTAATTACATATTAAAATATATTTAAAATAGAAAAGTTATTTAAATTGTAATAATATTTCACAGTATTATTGTTTTTGATCAAATAAATGGTGAACATAGAGACTTATTTAAAAAAAAAAATTTAAATCTTACCGGCCCCAATTTTTTTAACGTTAGTGTATATTTCTAAAAAAAAAAAACTTTTATGGTCTTTAAATGGTTCTGTAATGGTCTTAGATGATGGGATTGCGTCGCCAGCGAAACTATGCTGGGCGCTGGGATATCCTGATTCAGCAGGCCACTCAGTGCCTGAACCGACTGATCCAGATTGCTGCCCGCAAAAGACGGAACTACATTTTGGATCAGGTACTGCAAACACCTTCCTGTGATTCCCAGTGAAGACATAGCTATGAATGAGCTCTGATGTTTTTTTCTAATTTGTAAGAAGCAGTATTTGATTGAATATTGTATACTGAAGTGTTAGAATATTTGTTAGCATCAAACATGTTCTTTTTAGCGTTTCAATTATCTTGCATTTCCTGTGAGCCTATCTGATAATGTACTGGTAGCCCGTGACTGTATTAAGATGCTGAGAGACAAGTAATCTCAGCCTGGTGAGTAAGAAAAAGATGTTTTGTTGCAATAGTAATATAAGAAATAGCCTTGCTTTTAAATAGATGTCCATTATCCTGTTTCAGTAACAAGGTAAGTGGTAAAGCTAAGCTTCTTAGTTTTTCAGGGCAGAGCTGGTTTGTAAGCTAGGTAGAGTCACACGGACCCAAACTGTTGAGTCTGTAAGTATTCTCAGGTAAGTGATATATGTCTATATGTCTGTCTATAGACCTGAAGCACCACAAAGAGACGCATGAGTCAAGGTAAGTAAAGGAGACCCTTTTAGAATAGGAAAGCTTTTTTTCTTAGCTCTTATTTTAAAGGGGTCATATGATGCTTTTTTAAAGATCATTATTTTGTGTATTTGGTGTAACAGAATATGTTGACATGCATTAATGTTCAAAAAACACTGAGTATAGATGTTTATTTGCATGACATCTTAAGTATACAGTTATTGTATTAAATTGAATTTACAATTAAACTGGTTATTGTACATGAGCTAGACAACATTCAGGGTTCCATGGACATGGAAATATCAGAGAATTTTAAATGTATTTATTTAGTTTTTTATAAAAAAAATTTGAAAAGCGAGAACCCCTTCTTAATAAAATAATATACTGAAACCAAAGTATTCTTTCTCATGTTGTTTTGTTCTTTTAACTTTTCTGGAATATTGGTATTTCTCTGCCAGTGGAACAGAATATTTTTATCAAATATTTAGTCTTTTCGAGTCTTGTATCGAATTTCACGTTAATCAGTTTTTGAGCACATAATTGCAAACAAAATTTTGTTTCTTTTTGGTTCCTTATTCTACTTTGCACATGGTGGAGCTGAAATTATCTCTGAAATCTGATTATTACAATTTGACATCAGGCTTTTGTAGGAATGCCATAATAATTAAAAATGACTACTTATGCTCTAAATTGTGTAGTTAAAGTAATCACAAAATCAAAATTGACATTTTTATTGAATGTTGCAGTGTTTATTATAAATTACATATCTGTGCACATCTTTTAAAAAAAAATTTTTTTTTTTACCTTGTGTCAATATGTGTAAGCTTGCACATAAAATGTCTCTATCGCAATGATATATGATCGCAGATGATTGTAATTTCCATTTCATGTCACCTTTAAACTAGAAAGTTAAGCTTTCAAATATTTAATGGGTTTAATGTTGTTTTTTGTGACTTAATAACTATTATAAAATATTAACTGTTTTCAAAGGAACAAAAAGGGAGGCTTCCTAAGGAAGCATCCATTAAGCTATTTCAATCTTCTTTATTTTAAAGCATTTTGACACTAAAAATTATAGTTGTATAAATTAATTTATCCCAGGGTTTAGAATATATATATACAAAAAATGTGGCAAATTTAGAACTGCGGGTCCCTAGTTGCATATTTGTTTCAGGATCCAGGTCTATAATTTTTCCATTAAGCTATTTCAATCTTCTTTATTTTAAAGCATTTTGACACTAAAAATTATAGTTGTATAAATTAATTTATCCCAGGGTTTAGAATATATATATACTCAAGAAAAAAAAATGTGGCAAATTTAGAACTGCGGGTCCCTAGTTGCATATTTGTTTCAGGATCCAGGTCCTCACAGACACCTCTGTAAGGTAAGTGTTAGGGGTTGTAAGAGTCCATCAGTAGGTGCAAGGAAAGAAAGAAAAACCACTCCTCTCTCTCGTGCTCTCTTTCTCGCTCTCTCTCTCTTTCTCTCTCGCTCGCTCGCGCGCACACACACACACACACACACACACACAATGCGCAAAACTCCGCATTTGAACAGTCAATAGCAAATACTTTAACTAATAACAAAACAGTAGCTGATTCAGAAGCACCAGATTGTCATAGCAAAGTCAGAATTACCTCCTCTCCTAGGTTCACGAAACGGTCGTCCATAAAATGCATTGCTGTTCTGTTGTAAGTAATCTTAAAGATTCCTAAATGCATCTACTTCCGGAAGGCCAAATTAAAGTGCTTTTGCTTTCGCCTAGAAACACACAGCGTCTCCCTGACATGGCTGCTTCAACACTAACTGCGGTTACTGAAACCACGCCTTCTTTATTTGCGTGCACATTTGGGCAGCATTATGCAAATATTTCCACATAGTGAGGTAGATATGTGGGGGCGTGTTAGAACGAGCCGTTTTAGGGGGGCGTGGCAGAGTCTTAACTTTGATCAAGAATATTTGGTTTTGAGACTTTAGTCTTTGCAACTTCAGGGATCTTATCTATGCACAATCAGCTTGTAACACTCCAAAGAGAAAGGAAAACTTGAAATCGCATTATATGACCCCTTTAAAGATAAGAATTCATACTAATACTGTCCTTTTAGTCATAATAAATACACATTAGTTCCAAAAATCCCTTTTTCCAAACATGCTTTTGAGGTTGCACTTGGTTTGCAATAGTGTTCGTGATTTACACTTCTTCTGTTTTGATACGAATTATTTTCTTACATCATTTTCCCATCCTTCTTTAGCAATATTTTGTCGAAGTCAGAATTTTGTCAAGCTTAACTTTTTGTCTTCTGGTGGTGTGATCTGTCCCACCTTCTTTCCTCTTTTCATGGCTTTGAAGCCAACTTTGTGCTGCCAGAGGTTGGAGACTTCCTGGATGAAGTGACCTACGTTGAGCTGCAAAGAGAAGAGGCTGATGAGCTGGTCAAACGGTACAATGAGGAGGGCCGGAAGGCTGGGCCTCCGCCTGAGAAACGCTTCGATAACTGGGGACACCGTAGACGTGAAAGCGGCTACCAGCGGTACGACAACCACGGAGGGTTGAGAGGAGGCCATCAGAACAGAGGAGGTGAATTGACCTTATTAGTGTGTCATGCCAACTAATTCAAAAGTCTGTCATTAGTGTTTTCCGAGGCGTCATCTTGCTCTCTGCTTTTGTCAGGTTATAACCGTGATGGCTACAATCCGAACCGCTGGGGAGGGAATCACAAAGACCGTCGAGATGGATACAGCAGCAACCATCAGTCTGGAGGAAGCTACACTAACAACCGCTATGGCTCCTATAACAAAGAGGGATATAGCAGAGTGAGTCTGTACACAACCATGTATCTGTGACAGATATTTAGCTTCATGAGATTGATGTTTTTGTTTTGTTCTCACATTTTGTTTAGAGCTACAGTCAGGGTTATAATCAAGGCTACAACCAGGATAACTATAGCCAAGGAAACTACAACCAATACCCAGATTATGGGCAAGGTTACCATGACAATCAAGGATCTGGACAATCGTATAACCAACAGAACTTCAATCAGCAGTATCAACAGGTGAGATACAAGCTATGTTCTATTAAAAACATATTTTGCTCTTTTGACAATTTATGGCATCCTGTTGAATACCACAGAAAAATAATTTTGATTTCTGTTTTTTTTAATTTTTTTAAATAATGGTTTTGAAAGCATCTAATCTGCTGTTCTTGGTAAAATTTGACAAAATAGGAATATCCATCAACCTTTTATACATGGAGTTAGTATTGTGGCTATAAATGTATGAATTAATTTCTGCAGTTTTATTATGGTTGATAATATCTAAATTACTAAAGCTTACAGCAGATGTTAGCACTCTACCCAAATGCACATTTTCAGAAGGTATGGACAGTGCCCAACAATTTCTTTTTTCATTTTGTAATAAAGAAAAAGAAGTTAATTTAAAAACTATTCATCACTATCCTTGTAATAAATATTCAAGTTTAACCAAAATATTTGTTCCTTTTGAAAATAGAAGAAAAATCTATCTCTCCCCATTTTATTTTTCTTACACTAAACTGTCTTTTATTCAGCTTTTAATATCTTAATTTTTTTGTGTTTTACAAGGTTATTACATTTCTGTCAATAACAGTTTTAAAGTGCTTGCCTTGGATTTATAGGTACGATTAACATAATATCAAAAATCAAAATCTTTAAAAAAACGTCTAACATTGCTGAACAACTGTATTTTTCTTTTTTCTTTCTTTCTGTATTCCACCACTTGATCTAGTTCTATCTAATGTATTATTATAAAAAAGTGACCACATTTAAACATTATTAGAACAAGCTTGAGAATGTTATGGAATCGATTACTACGCTTGTCTGTTGTAGCGAATCCTTTCACTCAGAACCAGCTTAGAAAATATGATTAAACTAGGAATAATAATAATGTGATATAACATTCAGTGTTTACAGAGTGGTGAGTTAGCTCTGAACACTCCACCCGCATGAATTACAAAGGTAATTTCATCGACCTAGAAAGTTAGTTCCATCTTAAATGGACAATTTAGACAACTTTACAGTTCAAACATTTTTGAATAACCTTGAGTAACAACAATACAAGCTTTCTGCTTTTAAACCCTCTGAGTGAGACTCAATTTCTGTCCTTTTTTTATAAACTGAATGACTTTGTAATTGTCTGCATTCCACAGCAGCTGTTGATAGTTTACTTTATTTTTTTAATATTCCTTGAATGTGTTGTAAAATCTTTTTTGTCTTGTAACATTTAAACACATTTTATCATTATTAGATGAGATGATTGAAATGTAAGACTATACTCATAAAGATCAAAGTGTAGAAGTGGTAAAAGTTGTCCTTTTATTGATGCGAGATGTTTTTCTTCAGTATGCGCAGCAGTGGCAGCAGTATTATCAGAATCAGAGCCAGTGGAACCAGTACTACGCTCAGTATGGGAATTCCTCTGGACAGCAGGGCAGCCAGAGCTCACACGGCTCACAATAAGCAGGAAGCACCTCCGTAATCACACACACACACACACACACACACACACCATGCCACGCTTCTCTACTTACAGTTGCACATTTTTCCATATGGGAATTCCTCTGGACAGCAGGGCAGCCAGAGCTCACACGGCTCACAATAAGCAGGAAGCACCTCCGTAATCACACACACACACACACACACACACACACACCATGCCACGCTTCTCTACTTACAGTTGCACATTTTTCCAAAACATAGTAAGCTGACTGTTATGAGTTAATGATTATTTTGAACTAAATGACTCAGTATAAACTTTACTGATATGATTATACTAGTTAGTACCACCAAACCCCTGAAATTGAAATAAGAGCAGAGATATGACTGATTCCTAGTATATGTGAAAGATATTTTTATTGCGAGGTGCTTCTTGTTGTAGTACCACAAACAGCCTGCAAGTGGTTTCCTCAACACTTGATTGTTTTTTTTTTTGCCAAAAACAAGTTTTGTTTTGCCTAAATTCCATTTAATTTGGAATGTAGATGCTTTTCATATCAACTATCGTGAGCCTTAATTTAATACGTTAAGACGTGACCGTAAAAAGCATGTTTTCTGTTTAAATTGTAGTTTAGAGTTTGATATACTCGTCGCCATCGCAACCACACAAGATGAGAATATGAAGAATGTTGTGTTGAGTTTAATTCTTCCTGATAATCCAAAATGCTAGCTGATTTTAAGAGTCGATGATCATCCTGGCTGTGAAAGTACTGCATTTTTCTCTGAAATGTTTAGTTCTTGATGTTCTTTGTGGACGTTATTTGTTCTCTCCTGTCCAATCCATTTTTGCTTTGAGAATTAAATTATAGAACACCACCGTGACTCTGATGATGATTTAAAATACAAACATGATGTACAATAGTGTTGTTATATAGCCGGACTCGTGAAATGAATGAAGCATCTCAATCACTTTTTAATTTATATTTTAATCACATCAGGCAGTGCTTTATGGCTTAATACGTAAGCTTTATCATTCCTCAATAAATAAAAATCTATAGCCTAAACTCAAGATTTAGTAAAAACAGACATTCAAGTTGGAGATGACAAAAGATCTAACAGAAAACATATTAGAAAAACAGTTTAAAATAGGTCCACAGTGTTTGTTTGAATCGACCCTTAATGTCTCCCGCTCTTTTTTTCATTAATGCTCCTGCTCTAATACACCGAATGGACAAGAGCACTAATAAAGCAGATTGTGATCTTTTTCAATTGAGACAGGACTATTGTCTGAAATAAACAGTGATATAATACCCTTTGTCTCCTACTCAATGAATTGTTCATTACATAAGGCACAGTGATGCATTGTGGGTATTATATCAGCACCGAAATCACGTCCCTTAACAGAGGAGGTACATTCTTGCTGTTCGAGTTCAATACAGTTGTTCACAGTGTATATTTTCCATCAGTGTGAATATTAAGGCAACAGTTTTGTATTAATTGAACTGAACCGCGCTCTTCGTGACAAAGGTAAGGCAGTCCGTCTGTCTCATATAAAGATGAGTGGTAGTGAGATTGATGATGTAGCAGTCCACCTTTGAGTGCTTGTGGAGATGTGAAGTCCATTGATCTGGTCCTCACTGGCAGTTGACGCTGGTGCATAGAGAGTTCTTACCGTACGGATCCACCGACAGGGTTTTAAAGAGCCCTGTGGGAGCAGTAATTCCTTAAATAAAATCCCTTCTGGGTAGAATTTCATCACATTTAATGAACGTCATGAACAATCTGTTGAAGACAATAGAACAAGACAGTTGGCCAGAAAGACGAGGACACGTTCTTCAGTCTTTTCTGTCCAGTGTATTTAACAGTTCCACCCCACACAAACAAAGGGCCACATGCACAGACTAGTTCAGTCTGGTTCCTTTCGTTTATCTTTGTTCAGCTTCAGTTCATCCATTTTCTCCTGTAGGAGAGAACTAGGGGCAGATGAACCTCGCACCCTTGCTGGTAGCGTAGCGCTCTGGGATGATAAGGCAGGTAGGTAACGTTAGTTTCAAAACGTGTATGCTACCCAGTCTTGCTCACCAAATTAGCTTTCTATGCAATGTATTTTTTGAAAATATCCACCATACTCGCTGAAAAAAAATTAGAGAATGTAGTTGAAAAAAAAAGTGCTTCATGGAAATACCTTTTCAAGGGGTGGATGTTGTTTCTGGGAAGGAAGACGATCTTTCTGTTTGGCCACCGGTGTCCAATCTACTGGGTCCGTCTGAGTGGACCTGTCGGATAGTGTGGCCGCCTCTGCGTCGCTGTCTGATGAAGTTTGGCCCTTGGTGTGTTCAGATCCATTTCCATTAGGAAAGACAAATGCTTCCTCTTCAGAACCTGATTGAATGGCGGGAAAACATGTAAATCATCTGCTAGTCTAACAATTCATTAAGGACTTGTGCATGACATTCTGCACTATATAATCTTCTCTCCAATCAAACAGTGTCTAGAATTATAACACCTTCAATCCCATTTGCAATCGAAAGCATGTAGCAAGTAATAGTTCATATCTATGACATAATGTACGTAAAGCCTATTATTAGCTATTTTAGTGTTGCAGTGTAACTGAAGTAGTGACAGACTTCCCTGTTGTACATCTAAGTGAAGCAATTTATCAAAAAATATATAAAAAGGTAGGGTGGGACTTGATTCTGTCTATTGGTTGTTGATTGGATGGAGGCTGATGTGAATGCGAGATTGAAATTGAATTTAGCGGCGGGGTTTAAGTGGGCTAAAAGCTTGATGACATTTTAAGAAAAATTATGAGGGTCAGTAAAAATGGAATGCATGGTTCAATCAATCACAATAAGTTCAATAACTATGAACTTATGGTTGGACAAGCCCAACCAAACTTCTAATTTCAATAAGAAATACATTGTCACAGAAAAAAAAATAAACAATGGCAGAATTTGGAAAAAGCATACTATTCTTAATATTTCTTCCACATTTGTATGATCACAGATGGTCCTGACATCGGTTTCCCAACCCAATCTCATGCGATAACGTAACTATTTTATAAGGTGGTATTTTCAATTGTCTCTAAAAAAAAAAAAAATTTTAGGGCAAAAAAAGCAACCATGAAGATCTACCCCTAAACCTGAATTTAAGCAGTTCGTTTGTAAATGTACGAATTCGAAAATGTTCGAATTCACCACCAATTCCTCAAAATATAAAATAGTTACAAATTACCATGAGAGTGTGTTGCATTTACTTCAGCTGTGGTAGTTTCATGTTTCATGATCACCCCATGGTCTCATTCTTGGTGCATAATAAAACAATTCTTAAATTTCATATTTAACTGATTCATTTGATAAATGTGACTCTGGACCACAAAACCAGTCTTAAGTGTCAGTTTTTCAAAATTGAGATTTATACGTCATCTGAAAGCTGAATAAATAAGCTATTTTAAAAGAAAAATCTATAATTTTGACCCACACAGTGTATTTTTGGCTCTTGCTACAAATATACCCCAGCGACTTAAGACTGGGTTTGTGCTCCAGTGTCACAAATAAGCATTCAATAAATGGTATTGTTTATAGTCAAAAAGTCATTATCACAAAATTAACCTCTTCAGGAACAGCACAAGGCCCCTCTTTGCTATGATCACTTTGTTGGGGGTTATTTTGCCTTAATGTATCAAGACTGATATAAAAAACTCACTCCAGCTGTTACCCTTAGTGTGGAGGCCTGATACGGGGCCCGGGGTGCAGGGACAAGAGCTACTGGTCACCTGGAACCTCTTAATACACTCCATTCCCACCACATCCTTACAGTGCTTATGACAGTTTACTCCGCAGTCTGCAAAGAGAGAGGGGCAGCAGGGTTACGCTGGTGCAGAGGTGACAGTATATTGATCAGTACTGTATGTTCTAACCTTTGCAGTGGTAGCCCTGCTTTATGACTCCCCATAACTAATGGTAAATAGAGGAAAAAAGTTAGACAATTTAGACAAGTCAAAATTGCACAAGTCCCTTGGTCCACAGTTTAAACACTCACAAATCCTCCACAGGTGTCGCAGAATGTGGGCCTTTTGTACGTGGTCTCATGGAAGTTGTGGAGGTTGTGGAGGTTGAAGCCGAGCTTAGCACACACTGACATCCCACGCATGAAATATGAAGTGATTTCCGCTCTACTGATCTCTCCTTCCCTGAAAAATAAAGAACAAAGCACGATGAGAACTGATTGGATTCTTTTAATGAATTTAACATACAGTAAGTCAATCAGGCCTAGAAAAAATCAAATAAAATTAATTGCTCTTATCACATTTTTTTAAGCAGTAGTTTCCATCAGTACACTGAAAGTGTTAAATCGTTAAACAAATAATTGAACACTGGGTGTATACATTTTAAGGTAAGAGGTTTATTTTATTTATTTTTTTAAATATCATATCCTACAATTTTAAATAAAGTATATAATGACGTTTTCTTGGGGTTAGAAAACCTGAGCTAACTTTGCCATGCCATAAAAAGGCTAAAAAAAAACTTAAATTTCAAAGGTCTACAGGGGTCCCCTGTGATACTGTATTTCCTGTTTTATGTTTTTCTCTGTCACATGACAACAGAATGGCTTCCTGCATGTTGGTTTCGCCACACTCACTAACATTGATTTCGCAAAATAAAACTTAAACTGCCAACAAAGGAAAGCAAACAAACAGATAAATAAATAAATACCAACTTATTGAAATACTTACCTTAAATTTCAAAGGTCTACAGGGGTCCCCTGTGATACTGTATTTCCTGTTTTATGTTTTTCTCTGTCACATGACAACAGAATGGCTTCCTGCATGTTGGTTTCGCCACACTCACTAACATTGATTTCGCAAATAAATCTTAAACTGCCAACAAAGGAAAGCAAACAAACAGATAAATAAATAAATACCAACTTATTGAAATACTTATTTTTATACTTAAGCCTTTTAATGAGGCGTGTTTTCGTTAATGTAAAAGTATTTCATTTCAGAAAATGAAAGTATGCTCATTTCTTTTCTTCTTCTTTTTAATAAAGCTACAAAAGGTTTCATTTTCAAATGAATGCTGGAAAGAATCCAGATAAAAATGTATCATGTTTTCCACAAAAATATTAAGCAGCACAACTGTTCTCAACACTGATGATAATGAGAAATGTTTCTGAAATCAGCATATTAGAATGATTTCTGAAGGATCATGGGACACTGAAAACTGGAGTAATGACTGCTGAAATTTCAGCTATGCATCACAGGAACAAATACAATTTTAAATGGTAATAATATTGATCAAATAAATGATTTTTTTGATCATATAAATGCATTAGAGACTCCTTTTCAAAACATCAACAAATCTTACCGACCCCAAACTTTTAAACTAAAATGTAAATATTAATTTCTGTCATAAACACAACCTTGTATGTTCTCAAAACTCTCACGTCTATCAGAGAGTAAAAGGCCTCATCTTACCTCTCGCTCTCGTGTGTGCAGAAAGAGAAAGGGAAATTTGCAGCGATCTTCTCAAAGTCCTCCAGAGAAATGTAGCCGTCCATGTTCAAATCATAATTCTTCATGATAGACTGTAGGGGGCAACACAATCATTGTGTTCTTTAATGTAAGACGCTGACATCTAAAATGTGACATTTGGGCTTGAAGGGCCCACACGCTGTTAAGGAAGTGAGAGTGGACAGCCAAGAACCGTCCGTCGCAGTGTCACACTAAGGAACTGACCCTAAAAGTGGGAATAAACACGTTTCTCACTTACATCCACCATCTGTTTAACGTGTTTCGAGATGGTGGCGGGATCCAGACGCGGAGTCACTCCCGATCCCCACTCTGCTACCACTGGGGGCTTTACCGGAGCTACGGGCTACAGAAAAGGGTGGTTAGAGATATGACAGTTTTGTTTTGACACTCAACACCAACTCGCATAAGACTAACAACTGAGAAACGTTGCTGTGAAAACACTATACAAATGATGCTGGTTTATTTGTAAAACGCGAATGCTGTCACAGGCAGAGGCTTTATAGGAAATAATCAAAAAAGCTTGTACGTAACGACACCCACACTGAAAGCAACAAAGATAACGATCGTGCGTCTTTCAGCAGTGTGTCTTTTTTGTGGTTTTCTTTGAAGTGTGTTTGCACAAAGAGGAGTGCGCTGAGCCCTGTACCCACACATTAGCACGGGATACTCCCTGTCTATAAACAGGTCACATACAAGGTCAGACTATATGAAAATACTGGCCAAGTCATGAATGGCAGCCTGTTGCATATGTAAAATAAGTCAACGTTTGTATATGCAGTCTTTAGATGTTAGAGACAACTATATTTTCGTACATTCTGCAGAAAACCGAGGTGCTGCTTGTTCCCACCTATGAAAATCAACCATGGTTTTACTACAAATAAACAAAACAACAAAAAACCTGGTTACTGTAGTTAAACCATGGTAACTACAAATTAACCATGGTTTTGCCACACTAACCATAGTTTAACCGTGGTATTTGCAGTAAATCTGTGGTTATACAAATGGTAATCAATACGCCAAAAAAACATCGCTAATTTTCGTAAGGGCAATAATGCCAGGGTGCTGTTTGAGGTTACCAGGGTGTTCTGAGTGGTTTTAAGGGCTTTCTATGTGGTTGCTACAGTCTTCCTACTGGTTTCTCGCTGCTCCATGTAAAAAGAGCACACCTCCAGTTCTCTATGATATGATGGTCTATATATGGTATTTGTCTGTGGGATTTTTCATCTGTTACTTTTCGTAAAACTCACAGAATGATTATTGCAGCTAAAAATGAATCTCTTTCTCAAAAATTGTGATTTTATTACTTGGAATATAAGGAACTACTATTTCAGTCTTTCTATTTCAAAATGTCATATTTATTTCAATGTGTTACTTGTCATTTCTTTGTAATTAATTGTGAAATTTACTAGCAATTTCTGAGTGAAAATTGTTACCCAAGTAAATCCTGCACCATTTTTGTGTGTTAATGGCATTTTTAATATTTTTTTGAAAATAAATTAATATATAAGAAATACATAAATTGTATCTAAATTATTATAAGTAGGGCTGGGCAAAAAAATCGAATGCGAATCTCGTCACTTAAGCCGCTTCTGGTGATTATTAGTAAATCTCCAGCACGTGCTTTCAGATGGAGCGGCATTTACTACACAGAGCCGTAGTTCACTGACAAGCTACACAAAACCGCAGGCGATTCATTGTCGCATTCGACTTTTTTGCACAGCCCTAATTATAAGTATAAGAAACTAAACAATTGTCACTCAGAAATTGCTAGTAAATTTCACAATTAATAACAAAGAAACAGCAAGTAACATTGGATTAAGCATAAAAGACTGAAATAGTATTTTCTCATAAAACATCCTCCAATATTTTTTGTTTTATTTACAACTTAAAAAGAATTTTTTTTTTTGCAGGGCCTAGGGGTTTGATTGAATCCTGAACATGACCTATAGCAAGGCCATATATGTACACAATATACAGTGCAATGTTTATTTTGAGGGCCTCACCTGAATTTTGGGGTTCTTGGGCTCCTTGGTGTAGGAGAGCTCATATATCTCGTCCTCTGTGTAACACAAGTCTAGCGAGAGCTGTGGGCAAGGCGGGGCAGAACGGTTACACATGAGAGGACACCCACTGTTTGCAATCCACATCTCTCAGTGTCACACACAATCAGCCGAACATAACCACAACCAGATGAGGGCTGATTTTAAAAATACGAATTTCGTCTTAAAAATAAATAGATGCAGGCCCTCTGTGGAAATGAAATAAAGGCATGCTTACATGCTTCTAAATAGGCACACTTATTCTGTGTACTGATGGGGCCTAGTCAGGTATTCAAAACCCACAACATGGGGCACAACAAACATTTCCGAGAAGAGAGGCTTTCCAGTAACACATTTGTCTGACAACAAATCCCTCTCAAACCACCGTTTTCCCTCTGTCTCACCGTTAGCAGGTGCAGCAGGTCTTTGTTGGCCTCAAACGGTGGGGTGCACTCATGGATGGCCAACAAGTCGCTAATGTTGCTGTATAAATGCTGCAGTTTCCCCAGGTTGATCTTATCGTCCTCAAGGTAGTCTGGCAGTGCCTCGTTGAGGGAGATCAGGTCTTTGAGATGAACACCCAAGATGGGCACCTTGAATCCAGTGCATTCGTTGTACAAGCGCCTGTAGTTTGAATAGTTGCTGTAGGACGACAGGAGCTCGGTGAGCTCGCTGAGAGTCTGTGGGAAAACAACATGAATTGAGCCTTTATGAGAACTTAGATCTCATTCTGTTATTTTAATCGGAGCACTTTTTTAACATTAGCTAATGTACTATTTAACATATTTAACATAACATATCAATAAATAATACATATTTATGAATCATGGTTGTTAATTTCAGCATATACTATAATATTAATTTGAACAAATGAATATTACCACAATGTACACTACCGTTCAAACATTTGCATTTCAAAAGATCTCTTATGCTGCATTTATTTGATAAAAAATACAGTAAAAATATAAATGTGAAATACTATTACAATTTTAAATAACTGTATATATATATACATATATATATATATGTATATATATATATGTGTAATTTTAACCTGTGACCACAAAG